ACATCAGAGCAGACCCCATAGGGACATCAGACTGGTCCCCACAGGGACATCAAACCCCTGAACGGGCATCAGAGCAGCCCCCATGGGGACATCAGAGCAGACCCCATAGGGACATCAGACTGGTCCCCACAGGGACATCAAACCCCTGAACGGGCATCAGAGCAGCCCCCATGGGGACATCAGAGCAGACCCCATAGGGACATCAGACTGGTCCCCACAGGGACATCAAACCCCTGAACGGGCATCAGAGCAGCCCCCATGGGGACATCAGAGCAGACCCCATAGGGACATCAGACTGGTCCCCACAGGGACATCAAACCCCTGAACGGGCATCAGAGCAGCCCCCATGGGGACATCAGAGCAGACCCCATAGGGACATCAGACTGGTCCCCACAGGGACATCAAACCCCTGAACGGGCATCAGAGCAGCCCCCATAGGGACATCAGAGCAGCCCCCATAGGGACATCAGACCCCTGAACGGACATCAGACCAACCCCCATGGGGACATCAGACTGGCCCCTGTGCCCCCAAACACACCAGACAGCCCAGTGCTGGGCACAGCATCCCCCACACAACCAGGTCCCCCGTCAGGAATTGCCCCCATCTTGGCCAGGCTTATGAGGTCACCAAAAAGGTGCACCCCATCCTGGTGACCACAGAGAGCCCAGGACTGCACCGCTCCGGTCCGCAGGGCAGGCTGAGGAGCTCACCTTTCCCCACGGTGCCGTCCCCGTCCGGGAGGATCACCCAGGGCACCACCTTGTTGCCCTCAATGTGGTAGAGCACCCCGGTGCGGTCGTCCACGGCGTACAGCTTCCCGTTGAAGACCACCAGCTCCGAGAGCTCCATGCCCCGGCCCTTCTCCGCCAGGTGGGACCTCAGCACGCTCTCCTCCCTGTCCCACTCCACCCTCACGCTGTCCCCGCTGTCCGACAGCACCAGGTAGCCCTTCTTCAGGTAACTGAACCAGGTGTGCTCCTCGGAGCCCCGCGACTGCGTGTCCAGGTCCGCGATGACCCCGATGCGGTAGCGCACGCCCTCGGGGTTCCTCTGGGGGGGGGACAGCGGGTAGGTGTCATTGTAGCGGTCCCCTGCCCGCAGGCTGAGCTGCCACGTGCGAGGGCTGGG